CAGCACTATACCTGAGAAAACACCTGCTGAGACCACTGCATCTTCAACAGCTGCTAGTGACAGCACCACCTCTGTCACAGCTCAAACGGACACCAGTGCATCTTCCAGAACTCCTAGTGGCAGCACTACCCCTCAGACAACACCTACTGACACCAGTGCATCTCCAATAAGTACTAGTGACAGCACTCCAACTATGACGACACCTACTGAGACCAGTGCATCTCCAACAACTACTACTGACAGCACCACCCCTGACACAACACCTGCCGAGACCACTGTATCTTCCACAACTCCTAGTGGCAGCACTTCAGCTGAGACAACACCTACTGAGACCAGTGCATCTTCAACAACTGCTACGGGCGGCACCACCTCTGTGACAGCTCAAATGGACACCAGTGCATCTTCAACAACTCCTAGTGGCAGCACGAACACTGAGACACAACCTACTGGGCCCAGTGCATCTCCAACAACTGCTAGTGACAGCACCACCCCTGACACAACACCTGCTGACACCAGTGCATCTTCAATAACTGCTAGTGGCAGCACTACCCCTGAGACAACACCTACTGAGACCAGTGCATCTCCAATAACTGCTAGTGACAGCACCACCCCTGTCACAGCTCAAACGGACACCAGTGCATCTTCTAGAACTCCTAGTGGCAGCACTACCCCTCAGACAACACCTACTGACACCAGTGCATCTCCAATAAGTACTACTGACAGCACTCCAACTATGACGACACCTACTGAGACCAGTGCATCTCCAACAACTACTACTGACAGCACCACCCCTGACACAACACCTGCCGAGACCACTGTATCTTCAACAACTCCTAGTGGCAGCACTTCAGCTGAGACAACACCTACTGAGACCAGTGCATCTTCAACAACTGCTACAGGCGGCACCACCTCTGTGACAGCTCAAATGGACACCAGTGCATCTTCAACAACACCTAGTGGCAGCACGAACACTGAGACAAAACCTACTGAGACCAGTGCATCTCCAACAACTGCTAGTGACAGCACCACCCCTGACACAACACCTGCTGACACCAGTGCATCTTCAACTCCTAGTGGCCGCACCACCCCTGAGACAACACCTACTGAGACCAGTGCCTCTCCAACAACTGCTAGTGACAGCACCACCTTGGTCACAGCTCAAACGGACACCAGTGCATCTTCAACAACTCCTAGTGGCAGCACGACCCCTGGTACAACACCCACGGAGACCAGTGCACCTTCATCAACTGCTAGTGTCAGCATCACCACTGTGCCAGCTCAAATGGAGACCAGTGCATCTCCAACAACTACTAGTGACAGCACCACAACTATGACAACACCGGCTGAGTCCAGCACATCTTCAACAACTCCTACTGACAGTACCACCCCTGTGACAACATCTACCGACACCAGTGCTTTTTCAACAACTGCTACTGGCAGCACTACACCTGGGAAAACCCCTACAGAGACCACTGCATCTTCAACAACTAGTGACAGCAAAACCCCTGTGACAACACCCACTGAGACCAGTGCTTTTTCAACAACTACTAGTGGCAGCACTACACCTGAGAAAACCACTATTGACACCTCTGCATCTTCAACAACTGCTAGTGACAATACCACACCTTTGACTACTGAAACAGATACCAGTGCATCTGCGAGGACTACTAGTGACAGCTCCACTACTATGACGACACCTTCTGTGACCAGTGCATCTCCAACAACCGCTACTGACAGAACCACCCCTGTCACAACACCTGCCGAGACCACTGCATCTTCAACAACTCCTAGTGGCAGCACTACCCCTGAGACAACACATACTGAGACCAGGGCATCTTCAACAAGTGCTACTGACAGCACCACCTCTGTGATACCTCAAATAGAGACTAGTGCACCTTCAACAACTCCTCGTGGCAGCACTTCCCCTGAGACAACACCTACTGAGACCAGTCAATCTTCAACAACTGCTAGTGACAGCACCACCTCTGTGACAGCTCAAACAGACACCAGTGCACCCTCAACAACTCCTGTTGGAAGCTCCACCCCTGAGACAACACCTACTAAGCCCAGTGCATCTTCAACAACTGCTAGTGACAGCACCACCCGTGTGACAACTCACACTTGGACTACTGGATCATCAACAACTCCTAGTGACAGCACCACCCTTGTGACAACTCAAACTGAGAACAGTACATCTTCAACAACTCCTAGTGACAGCACCACCTCTGTGACAACTCAAACTGTGAGCAGTACGTCTTCAACAAGTCCTAATGACATCACCACCTCTGTGACAACTCAAGCTGATGCCAGTACGTCTTCAACAACTGCTAGTGACAGCACCACCCCTGTGACAGCTCAAACGGAGACCAGTGCATCTTCAACCACTCTTACCGACAGTGCCACCCCTATGACGACTGAAACTGAGAGCAGTGCATCTTCAACAACTTCTAGTGACATCACCACTGCTCTGACAACTTCTACGGGACCTACTTTGTCTTCAACAACTCCTCATGGCACTCACACCCTTGTGACAACCTCTACAGCAGCTCGTACATCTGAAGTCACCCCATTTTCAGTGACTACTTCTCACATCACCTCCCCTGTGTCTACTCTTAGTCCTTCTAGCCCTTCAACAACTTCTGCCTCATCCACCTCTGTGACCTCTGATGTTGCCACCACCACAACTCTCACCACTTCAACTGCCAGGGGGGAACCTACCACGCTGAGCACTCCCTCCACCACAGTCACCATTCTCTCCACTAGCTCCTCCGCTGTTACAATGGGAAGCACCCCCACCACAACTTCTAGTTCTCCAACAACCACACCACGTAAGCAATTCTTGATTTCTCCTTTTTGAAACTTACATTTCTTTTCAATTTCCTCTTTATGGTTTTCTTTTTAAAGCTTTACTCATCATAGACTTCTTTTGGTCTTCCTTGTTTTCAATTCGATAAAACCTCTGCATTCCTATCATCCTAGCACTTACTTCTCTGCCCCATCTTGCTGTTTCTTGTACTAGTTCCAATCATTTGTACACTGCCTTTTACCTCTTTTTGCCTGGGTACCTTCAACCCCTGGTAAAGTGTCCACACATCCCATTCCCTCCCTTTGTACTCTGCAGTCTTTGTCCCACTGCATTTTTATACCATAATTTCACTACCTTTGTATTTTTTATTTGCATTTTCACATCTTTTTGATGGTCTTTCTCACTGATTTTCCTCATGCAAAGATTATTATCTTGGAGGAGAGGAGGATGTTGCCAATAGTATTCACAGGTACATTTGGCAACTCTCTCTACCACCATTCACTTTCATTTTCTTTTTTCTTATCCTCTGAGCATCCACCACAGCAGCAAAAGAAGGTGCACTTGTATCGGCTCTGAACTCAACCTCCATGCTCTTGAGTGTTTCTATCTTTGTGCCACCCTCTCTTCTCTCTGACTGTAGAGCTTTCAGCTCCCTTCACTCTGGTTAGGATGAGACCTGCCCCACTCCACACCTACTGTTATAATATACTGATATATTACATGCAATATGCGGTATATATTATATGATATACCATGATAGCTGTGAGTATTATTCTCAGATTGAGAGGATAAAGTATACTAGTTAAAATACTTGACAACATGCATTAATTGAGGTCAACTATAGATACGCTCACAGATACATGATCTGTGTCTGCCAGGGCACTGACCAGTCCCCTCTTGAACTGATGAAGGAGAAGGGCGGTTCTCCAGCTTTTGGCTGATGCGTTTTCTCAGGGCTTTGTGATTGCTTCCTCTGTTGAGCTCTGCTTTGCCTGGCCTTGTATTATGTGGCTTCATTCTCTGGTTTCTCTCCAATGTATCTTTGTCTTTTTAAGCTCTCTGGTTCTCAGATAGGGGGCTGAGCATCTTCAGAGGGGAAGTCTGGACCTTGTGTTCCCAAGAAGCCCTACAGGTGTCTCTCAGTGAATGCCAGGTGGCCGCATGACCACCGGGCCCGCAGCAGCTGCTCACCCTTCTGAAGGAAGATGGTTGCCCTCTGTCTTTCTCCTGTTCCCTGGATGTTGGCCTTCCCTGTAGACTGTTGGGCAACAGGTGAACGAACCCCAGCAGCTGCTTTTGCTGCTACTCATAAGCCTGTGCTTGGGCTCTTACGTCAGGTCTGAACATCTTCAGTAATACACAACAGAGAGAAAGAGAGAGAGGCTGGTTTGGGATTTATGGGTCTCCAGTGTGCACAGGACTCTACTCTTAACTCATCTCTTCCATTCTTCCTGAATGTCTTGAACCAAAGGCCTGTAAACAGAGGCTGTGTGATGTGACTGTCATGGCTGTGGCCCCTGCTCCCTGAGTCTGATGGGGGTAGACCAGAAGGCAGAGGTGGGGCAGGTCTTCATAGAGTATATGCATACTTCATGCACCTCCCCAGAGAAACTATGCCTGGAAGACTGATGTGCACAGGCACAGCTCTTTGCAAGAAAAGCCAAAGAGAACAGAGCTTTATATTTTCCAGACTAGTTGGCAAAGACATTCAAGAGTTGTCTCGAACTACTTCCTATCTATTTACACTAAGTCTATACACCTCCCTCAAACTCCATGTCCCAGCAAATAAAAACGGAATCATGAACAGTCACGATGGCAATGATGTGCGGTACAGGTTCTTCTGAAGTAGGCGTGGAGGGACAATGACGTGCTCATTCCCAGCTTGGTGGACTTGAGATTGGCCACTCCCCCTGAGTTCTCACAGTCTCTGTTTCCCTTTTTCTCTTCCTCTGCCCTGACTGCATTGTCCCCAACCTCTCAAGACACCAGGGTTCTCTTTCCTCATTTTGGAGCCTGAAGGAAGGTATGCTGGCATAGGACTCCAAGACCAGGTCAAGTCTGGCCTCCACGTGGAACCTTGGGTGGGTCTCATAGCCTCTCTCCACCTCGTTTCTCCCATCTGTAAAGTGGGGATGACACTAACTGTCCTGCCTGCCCCAGGGCCTCATGAGAGTATCAAATTCAACAGAGTCTGCAAAAATATGTTGCAAGCCGTAAAGTGCTGTGCAAATACGTGTGGCTGAGTGGGACCTTTTCCCTTTCAGAGACCTGCTTGAATGGAGGGACACTGAGTGAAGAGGGCTGTAAATGCCCCCCTGGCTTCGGAGGACATCAGTGCCAGAACAGGGTTCCAATCTGCTGGAACAATGGCACCTGGGATGGGCTCAAGTGTGTGTGCACCAGCCCCTACTATGGGACGAGTTGTGAGGAGGTGGTCTCAAGCCTTGACATAGGTAAGACTGCAGGGTCCTCCTCCCCTCCCCAATCCTGGGCCCAGTCTCCATGCTCAGCACCCGTTCCTGCCCCTCCTCAGCGTGTGGCCAGGAATATGGCCTCTTCCAGGGCAACCATTTTACCTGGTGGTAAGAAAGGTAAAGCATTAAAAAAATGAATAAAGCAAGGAAGTATAGTTTGGAACGAAATACAAATTTGGAACAAAATTTTACCATAAAACACACTTAAATGAGTATATAATGGAGCGGAATACAAAATGTGTGGTGGAATTCTCTAAGAGAATATAAGACCCATGGTCCTCTGGGCTGCATTCAAAGCCATGAGGAGTACAGTAGACCTGTCCCCCAAGGGGTACTCCGGTGAGACCTGACTGGAGGTCAGGGGTGGGGGACCTGGACCACGCCTCTTCCCAGGGCAGAATTGCTGGAGATGTGGGTCTCCTTGGTAGGGAATTTGGGGGGTGTTACCTCAGTAAGCGGTGCGGTGTCTGGCCCCCTCAGAATCTCCGCCAGAGACCGTCTCTGCCCAGGTGGAACTGACCGTGACAGTGACCAATATAGGGTTCTCTGAAGAGCTAAAAGACTGGTCTTCTCAGGAATTCCAGGATTTCAACGATACATTCACAAAACAGGTGAGCCTAGGAGAGCAAGTCCCCGTGGCCACTCGTTTCTCCCCGGGAGGAGTCTCTAAGGGCTAAGAAAGAAGTCACCCATTTCCTCAGGGCTTGCCAGGGAGGGAGGGAGGGAGGGAAAAACAAAGTAAGGCTCCCTCTGGGGGATGCCAGGGGTCCCAGAGGCAGGGCAGGTCTCTGTGAAGGGACTACTCCATCTGGAGGGTATGCCGCTGCCAGGTGGGACACGGCCCGGCAGACACCGCCGGTCCATCCTCCACTCTCCTGAGATTCTGAGTAAGGAAAGGCCCGGTGGCACCGAGGTGGGGACTCTGGAGTGACACAATGGCCCCTTGCCTTTCAGATGGAAATTGTTTATTCCGGAATCCCTGAATATGAAGGGGTCAACATCACAAAGCTGAGGTGAGTGTCTGGGGCTTCTTGGAAGCAGGCTTTCGGAGGGGAAGCAGTAGTCATAACTATAAAGACAATTGTAACTATGTCCCCTGTATTAGTCTGCTCAGGCCACCATAACAAAAGACCACAGAGTGGGCGGCTTACACAACAGAAATTTATTTCTCATGGTTCTGGAGGCTGGAAGTCCAAGATCAAGGTGTCAGCAGGGTAAAATCAGGTTTCTTCTGAGGCCTCTCTCCTTGGCTTGCAGATGGCCGCCTTCTTGCCGTGTCCTCACACGGTCTTTCCTCTGTTCAGGTGCATCCCTGGTGTGTCTTTGTGTGAACAAATTTCCTCTTCTTATAAGGACACTGGTCAGATTGGATCAGAGCCCACCCTATTGGCCTCATTTTTACCTAATCACCTCTATAAAGGCCCTATCTCCAAATACAGTTACATTCTGAGGTACTGGGGCTTGGACTTCAACACAGGAATTTGGGGGGAACACAATTCAACCCACAACAACCGTCCAACAATTACAGTTTCACATACATTTTCCAAATGAAAGCTTGTAACTACCCTGTGGGTGAGGCCAGTAGGACTGTTCCCATCGCACAGATGAAGAAACTGAGGCTTAGAGAGCACAGTGAGTTGCCCAAGGGATCATTTATAGAGTGGTAGAGCCAAGACAAAGAGAAGTCCTCTTGCGCTGGTGACACCCACACCAGAACCCCCGGAGGCTACCCTTGTGGGATGGACATTCCATTGGTCTTCAGAGACGAAGCCAAATAACCTGCGAAGGGAAGCCCCCCAGGGAAAAAAGCACCCAAACCCACAGTTATTTTGTGTTTACTTTTACTCACCTACGATAGGATTCTGCCCCCCCCCCGAATCTTTGCCCTGTTATTGACCCCCAACTTTATGAAATCCTTTGAATGGTGCTGGCCAACTGGGCTTACATGGGTCCCCCAGCTTCCTCTGGATCATGAAGAAGACATCTTTTCTCATGGTTTACAGAGTCTCCAAGAGGAACTTACAACCAATAGGGGGAAAAAATGCACAAAAAGCACAGAAGACAAAAGTGTCTACTAGCCTCTGTTTTTCTTTCTCCCTTAATTCTAACAGGAAAGTTCTTCTGTCTAATGTAAGGTAGGACTGGGTGGGATTCCCAGGCCCCTCCCAGTCTGTGTTCACGGCAGGTGCCTGGGTCGGCCAGGCTCCGGGCAGGGAGCTGCTTGCTGCTCTTGAGCAGCTCAGCTTCCCTGCAAGAGAAAAGCATTTTTCTTTCTGGCCCTAAAACTCCTTTCTGGGACTGGCATGTGCTGACCTTGCAGGGTTCTCTTTTGCCCTGTGGGGGGTCTTTAAGGCCAGTCCTTATCCTTCTTCCCTACCTGTTCCTCTCTATCTCTCAGGTGAAAGAGAGAGGACGGGCTCTGTGGACCAGGCACAGAGCCAGCACCTTTCCATTCCTGGTCACGGCAGTCACCTGAAGGCGTTTCTAGGTATCTTCCTCCTCATGCAGAGAGGAGGAGAGAGCCGGGCTCTGAGGGCTCCGGGAAAACACACAGCAGGAAAGGGCGTCTTGCTCAGAGAGTGGCTCCAGAGAGGTCTGGGAGAGGGCAGATAAGAAGTGAGAATCACTCACTTTGAAAGCATGGAAGGAACAGTCCTGGGAACCATCTGTCCACGCCAGCCCATCATTTTACAGACAAGGGAACTGAGGCCCCATGAGGCCAGGTGGCTGGTCCAAGGTCACACTGTTACTTAGGGCCAGTGTCAGGGTCTCATCCCGCACCTCCTAACTCCCACTACACCCGCACAACCTCGACCAAGCCCCAGTTCTCCATGGGAGCTCTCAAAAAGGGAGCTGAGGACAGTGATGGAGACTGGGAGATGCTTGAGGCCACGACCAAGCGGGCTTCGTGGGAATGGCTGCATCCTCATTGTGAAAGGCAGCCTCGAACTAGATCTCCTGGTCCCTTCTGACTGTAGTGCTATTCTGAGTTATTCTAATTCTAGTATTCTACATGTTATACCAAATATTATTATAATAATTATTATATTAGTAATAATGTGAATAATAATATTAAGAACTCTACTATTCTATATGTTATTTCTAATTCTAACATTATCCTATGAGCATCCGTCCAGATCTGCTATTATATTTAGGCCTCTGAATATAAGCATTAAGGAGAATGCAAGGGGAAGAGACTACTGATGACGTCCAGTACTTAGGAATCTTGGATTGTGAGCATGAGAATGTAAGACTTGTTGCTGTATTTTTAACCCAGAAAGGACTCTTTCCTGGGGTGCAAATAATTCCTACACTCACTTGAGAGAAGTAATTTGCCTTCTGGAATAACAGTGTGTTGATTTAAAGGCATTTCTGGTTCTTTTTTGGTGACTGCTGACTGGAGATGGGGAGTTAGGGAGAAGAGAGAAAGCAAAGAGCTGCTGTGAGCTTGTCCGAGGCCGCTCTCACTTCGGAGCCCGGCCCCAGACTTCTCCGACCTCCTACACAGAGAGTAGGGAAAGACTTTCGCCTGAAATTTTACCTTTTAGATGTCAGAGACTCCTTCTAGAATTGACCAAAATGTGTGTGAGTAGAAAATAGGTACATATGCACCTTCAAATTTTTGCATACAATCTTAGCAGGCCCGCAGACCTCCTGCAGCCTGAGCCACCTAGCAATTCATGAATCCCATGAGTCCCTGGTGTGACCTCCAACCCCTCAAGGACACCTTGCCAGCAGCTGCCCAGTCTCCCACTTGAACACATCTCATAGTACCTTAAGGATGACCTCTTCCACGGTCCCATCCCTCTGTCCATCTTCCTCCCTAAGACTTTCACGCAGGGCGGCCCAGAGCCTTCCCTTTGTAGATGATTCTCTTAGGCTCAGGTCATGATAGAAGTCCTATGGTGAAGCGCCTAGCAAGGCACCTGGAACGAGCCTTTACCCAGTAAACACTGGGTCATCATTTTCAATGGTCCTGCCCCAGATCTGCCTTCCTATGGGAGCAGGAGGGCACAGCCTACCTGGGGAAAGGGTAGGAGAGGCGGGCACCCATTATGACCCTGAGGGCATCTTCCTCTTTCTCCTCAGTCCTGGCAGTGTGAAGGTGGAGCATGATGTCATCCTGAAGGCCAACTTCACCCCAGATTACAAGGACGTTTTGGATAAGGCCATCCAGGACGTGGAGTCAAAAATCAAGACTACAACTCAAGAACAAATAAGCACAAATAATACCTGCGAAAGTAAATTCCTAGGCTTCTGGGGAGGGCCATGAGGGGGTCTTCAAGCTTTGCCATCCCTGGGGTGGGGGAGGTGAGAAAAGCCGCTGGGGGCAGCAACAGAGCACTGAGAGCCCAGGACTCCGTCCCCAAGCTTGTCACTCAGACTAGCATATTCCCAGAGACGCTCTGAAAGGAGAGTGCAGAGCCAGTGTACACGCAGGCTAAATCCTGTGGTTGCCAGAGTCTGCAGGAAAATGAAGCACAGCGTGGCTTACTATGCAAAGTAGACGCTGCTCAACGGAGTGAGGGGTGTGAGGAACTTGGCAGAGGTGGCTATAGGAGAAGGACACGGCGAGGGGTCGGGGGGGGTGGGCAGAGGACACTTGCAGGATCATCGTTCTGGAGAGCTAGATGTGAGGCTCGCATTCCTCCTCTGCGAGGATGGGCTTCCCAGCTCCCCGCACCACAGCCCCTCACCGCCCCCCCCTCACATACACCTGAGCCCCCGGCAAAACAAGCTTTTTATAGGCTTCACGTGTCTCCTTCACAGCCTTACTGTGTTTCAACGAGACTGCCACCAGGGTGCAAAACATTTCAGTTACCCAGTACGACCCTGAAGGTAGGTGACGTGAGGGGCTTCGGGGAGGGCGCGGGAGGCAGGCGGGCTCCCAGCCTCCTGATCGCGGCCCCTCTTCCACGCCCCTCAGAGGAGTGCCGGGAGAAGGCCGGGCAAGACTTCGCTGAGTACTTCTATGTGGAGTACGACGACAACGGGAAACCAAACTGCATCAGCCGTTGCGAGCCGAACTTCAACAGGTCCCTCAACTGCAACCACGGGACGTGCCAGCTGGACCGCAGCGGCCCTCGGTGCTAGTGAGTGTCGCAAGTCCCATCCAAGCCCAGATGTCCTCCTCCCCGCCCCTCAAGACTGCCTGGAGGCCGAGGTCCTGGCGTGGGTCCTCGCCTTTCTGGAATGCAGCTAGCCACAAAGGACACGCGTGGCCAGAGCCCCAAGGCCAGGTCCAGAACGGGCCGAGGTGGCTCAGTAACTGCCCTCCCCTCCCCGGCATTTGTGCCGAGAGAGGCTGAGGAGTATGCCCAGCTCTGAGGAAGCAGAAGGAAGGCCCCAGCCTCGGGAAGCTCCTGGTCAGATGGCGAGGACAGAGCCTTGCTCCCAGGAGAGATCAGCGCCCCCTGCTGGGGGAATGGGGAAAGAGCACACACCTGCATGGGGTTGGGGTTGGGGTGGGGGTGGGGGTGGGGGTGGGGGGGTGAGAGTCGGGGTGAGGCAGGGGTGGGGGGACAGCGTGTAAAGGTGGAGTCACAGGAGTAGGAAAGCAAAGGAAGGCATTGCCCTCTGAAACTAAACCTAAGAGAGACCAGCTGGAGCACCAGGTGTGGGGGAAGCAGTCACACATACGCAAAGGCCGGAGTAGTTATTCCGGTATGGCTTCCTGGAAGAGGAGTTCGCAAGCTGGCGCCCGCCGCGGGCGGGAAAAGAGCCGGGCTTAGAGAAGGCATCTCCAGGGAGGAGGAGGAGCTTCAGAGGTGGAGTGCGCTCCCTGGTCCCGGCATGGCGGAGTGTTTCTCTGGATAGAGAGGGAGGCTGAAAAGGAGGATGATTAATGTGTGTGCAAAAGAGTCACAGTTGGGTCTCAAGGTCCTGGGTGCAGCCCAGGGAAGCCCCAGTGTTGGGCCAACTCTTCTAGGTCTTGGGCTGCAAAACCTAAAGCCTAGTGCTGGGTATTGGGCCTATTTAAGGCCCATCCGGTGGAAACGACTTCGTCTCTGTTCATCCCCTTGGGGCTCCTTGCTCTGCACCCTAGTGAACTCGTCTTACCTTCTCCTCATTAAGCACCCACTGGGTCAGGGCCGGTTCTGAGACTGGGAGGCTGCGGGCACTGGCTGGCCCTGACTCTGGGTGGCTCCCTCTCCCCACCTGCACCTTCTCTCTGTCTCAGCTGCCTGATCACAGACACTGAATGGTACAGCGGGGAGACGTGTGAATTCAGCACCAAGAAGAGCCTGGTGTACGGGCTCCTCGGGGCGGTGGGCGCAGTGGTGCTGATCATCCTCGCCATCCTCCTGATGTTCATCTTCCGCTCCAGAAGGCAGGTGGAAAGGTGAGCCACTGCCACCCCTCTTCCGTTTGCCGCCACCTCCTCTTCCTTTTCTGATCCCTCTGTCTTCAATCATTCCATCCTCGGAGTGGACAGTGGGGGAGCTGAAAGCAAGGACATAGCCAGCCCCTGAGTCCTTGTCCCTGTTCCCTGCTCATAACAGGGTCTTTCTGGTGTTTCTACCAACAGGCAAAAGTCCAAAGTGGCTCAGTTGTACAAGTGGCATGAAGAGGATGGTGGGCCAGCCCCTGGGACCTTCCAGAACATTGGCTTTGACATCTGTGAAGGTATTGGAAATCCCAGTGGACTCAGAGTGTCTCCAAGTGAGGAGAGATGCCTGGGAGGCGCATGGATAATCCTGGCATGAAGGAGCGAAAGGGACAAGCATTTCAATCTCAAAATTTTGGGTTCCACATCTGCAACCGTATTTCCACCACTGGCTCCTGCAAGGCCCTAGATGGGGCATAAGCATGGGCACAGCCTAACTAGACCACTGGGGAGGCACAGCTGACTTGATGCTGGTAGATATCTCCAGAACACAAGACTGTGCCTATGTGGACACAGATAAGCGCCTAGGAGTGGGTGAGCTCGTTAGCAGTGAGTTATAGCTCAGTAAAGTGATTAAGTGTAGATTTTGTTAGGTTAAATGTACAAGTTAAAATGTCTAGAAATCGAGTCTTTAAATTCTAAAGAAGGAAAAGATGGGATGACGCTTTTTCTAGAAATAGTATTTAAATTATAAAGAAGGGGGAAATTGGAATTAGGAAAACATTTTAGTCAATCCACAAGAAGGCAAGAAAGGGGAACAAATGAAAACAAAAGGGGATGACAAATAGAAAGCACAAGTAAGATGATGGCAAATAATCCACCGTATCGACAACTACGATAAATATAAGTGGGCTAAACGTTCTAGCTAAAAGAATGGAGTTTTTAAAAATCTAGCTATTCACTGTGGATGAAAGGCATATGTAAAATAGAAGCACAGAGAAAGGATGAAAGCAAGGGTATGAAAAAAGACAAAACTAATACTAACCCGAACAGCTGTGTTCTATATATAGCTGTATTCATTGCAGGCAAATAAACTTTAAGGCAAAAAGAATTCCTAAAAATGATCAATGTCAGATAAAAATGATAACTATCTACTGGGACAAAATGGTTTACTTTGTTAAGGGGATATAACAAGTCCAACATGTGTATCCTATAAATACAGCTTCAAAATATATAAAGCAAACATTGACAAAATTACAAGGAAAAGTTGATGAATCCACCAACATAGTGGGAGATTTTTAAAATATCTCTGTTAATAGTTGATTGATCAAGCAGACAAAAAGTCATCAGGATATAGGACTTTCATACAAAATAATTAACAACCTTCATATAATTGTTATGGACAGACTGTATTCGACAACTGGAGAGTCCACATTCGTTACAAGAGCTTACAGAAAACTTGTCAGAATCACCACACACAAAGCCATAGATAGTCTCAACAAATTTCAAAAAATTTATTTAAATCAGATTATATTATCTGACCACAGTGCAAGTGAATTAGAAATTCATAACAAAAACATTTCTGGACAACGAAAACAAAAGTCCTGTATCTTTGGAAATTTTTTTAAAAGTTTCTAAATAACTCATGGACCAAATAAGAAATCATAATGAAAGTTGGAAAATACTCAGATCTGAATGATAATGAAAATACTTGGTTTCAAAACTTATGGGATGCAGCTACAGCTGTACTCAGAAGAAAACTTATAGCCTTAAAATGCTTTTATCAAGGAAGGAAAAGAAAGATTGGAACTTATTTGGCTAATTTTTCAACTCTAAAAGTTAGGAAAAGACTAGCAAAGTAATTGCAAAGAATGGAGATGCAAAAATAAAGATAAGAGCAGAAATCAACAAACTAGAAAGCAGAATTACAATAGAAAGGGTCAACAAATCAAAAGTTGGTTATTTGAAAAGATTAATGAAATTGACTAATTTCTGCTTAAGATTATTGAAGAGTAAAGGGTGAAGGTACAAATAGTGTCAGGAGCGAGTAAGGGAACATCACGGTGATTGTAGCAGTTAGTTAAAAGACAAGAAGAGGGGCCGGCCCGGTGGCGCAGCGGTTAAGTTCCCACGTTCCGCTTCAGCAGCCCAGGGTTCGCCAGTTTGGATCCCGGGTGCGGACATGGCACCGCTTGGCAAGCCATGCTGTGGTAGACGTCCCATGTATAAAATAGAGGAAGATGAGCACGGATGTTAGCTCGAGGCCAGTCTTCCTCAGCAAAAGGAGGAGGATTGGCTGCAGATGTTAGCTCAGGGGCTGATCTTCCTCAAAAAAAAAAAAAAAGATAGAGACTATTATGAACATCTTCCAACCAATAAATCCATAAACTTAGGCAAAATTCTGAAAGCCAGAATGGCAGTTAAAACTGCTTTTCAAAATGAATCAGGCTCAGATGGTTTTACGAGTTCTACCAAATATTCTGATTGATCATCTTCTACAAACTCATTCACGGACTGGAAAAAGAGGGAATTCTCTCCCATTCACATTATGAGCCTACTGTAAACGTTTATAGCAAAGCCAAACAAAGACAGTACAAGAAAGTAAATTTAAAGACCAAATCCGCTTGCGCACATAGATACAGAGATCTAAACAAAAATTAACACACCAAACCCAGCAGGTTTGACTAGTTGGGTTTATTCTAGAAAACCAGGCTAGCTCAAGATTAGAAATCTATTTATAAATTCACCACGTTACCAGAATTAGAAGAAAAATAGGATCATTTCAGTGGATGTGAAAAAAGACATTTAATAAAAAATCCATATCTGCTCATTATAAAAACTCAGCCAATTAGGAAGGGAAGAGAACTTCCATTTCCCGGTAAAGGTCTCCACACAAACACACAAAAATCATTCTCTGTTTTTTTTGAGAAAGATTAGCCCTGAGCTAACATCTGCTGCCAATCCTCCTCTTTTTGCTGAGGAAGACTGGCCCTGAGCTCACGTCTGTGCCCATCTTCCTCTACTTTATACGTGGGATGCCTACCACAGCATGGCTTGCCAAGCGGTGCCACGTCTACACTCGGGATCCGAATCAGCAAACCCCGGGCTGCCGAAGCGGAACGTGCGAACTTAACCGCTGGGCCACCAGGCCGACCCCAAAAATCATTCTCAGTGATAAAACATTACAAGTCATTCCATTTAACCAGGGGTTGGTAAACATTTTCTACAAAAAGCCAGCTAGCGTTTTTTGGGCTTTGTGGGCAGTGTGACTTCTGTCACAGTTACTCAACTCTGCTGGCGAAAGCAGCCATGGATAATACATAAATGAAGGAATGAGTGTGATTGTGTTCACTGAAACGTTTTCAACCACTGAAAAATGTGGAAAAAAATTCTTAGTTTGTGGGCCATGTGAAAATAGATGTCAGGCTGGGTTTGGCTCACAGGCCATAGTTTGCCAACCCCTGCCTTGAACCAGGAGCAGGTCACAGATGCCCTCTCTCTCTAATTCTATTAATCATTGTCCCGGGTATCCTAATCAGTATAATAAAAAAGAAAAAGAAGTAAAGAGGTTAAAGTTTGAAAAGAAAAATATAAATCTGTCATTGCTGATGATATGATTGTCTTACATAGAAAACCCAAAAGAATGTTAATCACTCGCAGTAATAGAATTTATCAAAGTTGCCAGATATAAGGTCAGTTCTTACAAGATCAATTGCGTTTCTGTGCATCAGCAACAAACAGATCCTTTAATTTAAAATACCCCTTATACAGCAACAAATATATACAGTACTTAGGAATCTATTCAACAAAATACGTTTAAGACTTTTCAGTGGAAAATGAGAAAACTTTATTTAAAAACATTGTAGAAACCCTAAAGGAACGAAAAGCCATATTCCATAAATTGGGGCACTCAGTATCCCGAAGCCGTCACATGGCACCCTCAGTCCAGGCCAAATCTTAATGGACTTTCCAGGAACTGGGAAGCTGCTTGCAAAGCACTTGTGGTTTTTCTTTGTTGAATTTTTAAATGCAATTCTTCACATCTTCTGAGAAGCAATGAAATCATTTGCTGAAATAGCCTGTCATGTCTGCAGTCATTTTCAGTTTCCTGGGAAGGGAGGATGCACCCCTCACCCTGTGGTGGGTAGGATTAGAGGGAGAGAAAAGAACATGTCTTCCTAACCATCTGCTTCTGTGGGATTTTCTCTCCATCTAGAACAAGAGAACTATATCCGCCTTGACTCCATCTATAGTAACTTCCAGCCCGCCCTGGGCCACATAGACTCTGAAACAAAGGTAAGAAGGGTGTGAATGAGGTGCTCGTCTCCCTTCACCATGAGACCCTGTCTCCCCTCCCACCATGGGAGGATCTTCAGGAGAGCAAAGTTATGTTTACAGGTTGTTGGTCCAGGTGATCATCCAGGCCTGGGAAATGGACATGACTCAGGGTAGCAGCAGGCGTAGGGGAGGGAGAGCTAAGCAGCCAGGTGGGAAGGTGGGTTCTACCATCCCTAGACCCCTGAGGTTCCAGGCTCAGAGGTTTCCGTCTCCACTTTAAATATGTCCTTGATGGCCAATTTATTTAGCCATTTTAATTTCAAGGTCATGTAAAAATCAAAAGAATAGTGCAGTAAATACTTATATACCCTACCTAGAGCAGCAATGTTTAACACAGTGCCATATTTTCATTATATATATATATATATATATAGGATATACTCCCCAAGTTTTGCTGAGCCATGGAAGTCGGTTGCAAACATTATGACACTTGGTCCCTAAACACTTCAGCACACTCCCCCAGATACCATTATCATGCCAAATGAATTGATAATAATTCCACAATACCATCCAATATCCATTTTCCCAATTAACCAAAGAACATCTTATTACTGGTTTTTTCAAATAGGAATACCACAAATTTCACTCACTGACTTTTGTTGTGTCTCTTTGTTCTTTCAGTCTAGAACCAATTCCTACCTTTTTAATATGTTGATTTTTAAAACAGACTAGGATGGTTGTCTCAAGGAATGTCCCACATTCTGGATTTGTCTAATTATTTCCTCAGGGTGTCGTTTAACTTTTCCTTCAATCCTCTGTGTTTCCTACAAACTGGCAGTTAGGTCTAGAGGCTTGATTAGACTCAGCTTAAACATTTTTGTTAAGCATATGTCATCGATAACACTATTGCATACCTCAAGAAGTATGTAATGTCAGGTTGTCCCGCTATGATTGAAGCCAAAATTGGTCACTTGGCAAGGGGTGATCACTCCTTGATTGCCACTTTAATTTTATTTCAACTGGATGGATACTTGAGGGCAGAAGAAATACTCTCAAAGCATTCACACCTCAGAAGAAGTGTAATTGGCTTCAGGCACTATACTCCCTCGAGAGAGCCTTGGGGCAAAGATGAACTCTTCCCTAGCCAGGATACCTTTAAGCCTACCTAACTCGGAGGGCAGGGGAAGGGGACACACCGCTGGTTTGTGCTCGACTCCAGGTGATAGGATAAGTTCTAAACTGAGCACTTCCCCAGGCCCACGACTCTTATGCTTCCAAATCCCAGCTTCCTCGTGGGCCCAGCCCTCACCTGGTTCTCTCTCTCTCTCCAGATCAGAATTAAGAGGCCTCAGGTGATCATGACATCGATTTAAGGCAAAGAGTTTCGCACGGAACTCTGGGGTCTGGAAGTGAGTTCGACTAAGCTTGGTGGAGCATTTCCCCATCACGAGCATTCCACGGGAACTGATGAGAAACAACACCTACCAGCACTTACCTAGGAGGAAAAGGAGAGAGACCACAGTGCTGGGGAACGCTCAAATAAAAGCACCGTGGAAGCTCCTGTGGGCTTGCCATGATCTCAGGCGAGGTCCTCCCGCTCATTCCAGGGAGATTCTTCCTCCCGACGGCCCTGCTTCAGCACCAAGGACAGCGCCCGAATCAACTCGTTTACCCGGAGAGATTGCTTACACTGGACTGAACTTGATACAAAATGCTTTTGCAAGATTTATTGCATCTCATCTTCATGACAAACATGAGTTTTTAAGTATACGGCATTTTTCTTTGAGTATACAGGATTGTATATTGTTAACTGTTTTTTATCTACAGGTTCTGATTTTTTGTTAGTGAATATAATCGTATATATTTCTAATGTATATAAATAAGAAACTAATATATATGTATCTAATAACTAAAAACAGCAAAGGCAATTTAACTAAATTTTCATGGTTCCCAGACCTTTCTCTGTCGATGCCCTATACAATCTCCTGTTTCTCACTTGCCAGGCCCTCTCTCCTCGTCTCCTCCAGGATGTAGGGTCTGATGAGTTTGGTCTCAAGGTGCCAAGTAAATCTGCAGCCAGGAAGAGTGCCATCCCTGACCTTCTCCAGCATCACTTGCTGGTCACTAAGGATGCCATGAGGCAGGACCCACACTCACTCACTCACTCACTCACTCACGTGATACAGGGACTCACTTTCTACTGGGAGAGAACCAAGTTCTCTTTCTGGAAATGGGCTCATGTTTCTCTCTTTAGATCTGAAGAGATGGAGTCCTGGGTTCTATTTCCAGCTTTTTCATCAGCTCCCTGGGTTAAATTTGGAAAAAATCCTATTTGACCATTTGGATTCAGTCCTGCCTTCTGCTGAATAAGGAATAGGTTTTTCCTGAAGTCCCCCTCATCACCGTCATTTTTAACGTTTTTAGGATGTTTTATGATTCCTGCCATGCAGCTCAGGATTCATTTTGCGGAAGGCCACCCTACTTAAACTTAAAACCTAAGAAAGAGCCGAGGCTCTGCTGCCCCCTCATGGACACTTAGAGCATCTGCAGGCGCCGTTCAGCTTCTCAAAGCCATTCTCTCCTGGCCTCCCCCCTTCACTGGGTTCATTCTCATATTTAACATCTAAATCCTCAGCTTCTAAAACTCACTGTCTTAGTGCATTCGGGCTGATGTAACATAATTCCATAGACTCGGGGAGGGGGCTTATAAACAACAGACATTTGTTTCTCACAGTTCTGGAGGCTGGAAGTCCAAGATCAAGGTGCTGACAGATTTGGTGTCTGGGGAGAGCCCACTTCCTGGTTCATAGGTGGCTGTCTTCTCACTGTAATCTCGCATGATGGAAGGGGTGAGGGAGCTCTCTTTGACCTCTTTTATAAAAGCACTAATCCCATTCAGGAGAGCTTCGCCCTCATGACCTGACCACCTCCCCAAAGCCCCACCTATTACCATCACCTTGGGGGTTAGGATGTCAACATAGGAATTTGACGGGGGACGCAAACATTCAGTCCATAGCTGTCCCTAACACTGTTATGTATACTTCGTACATCACATTCATAATTTTCCCTACAATCTGTCCCATCAGGTCGAGGATGGGGCTTTGTTCCCCTCAGACCCCCACAGAGCCTAACACAGTGCTTTGTGTGTAGAAGATGCTATTAAAATTTCTTACATTTAATTGAATCAACACTCATCTCCACAAGGTCTTTAAAGATGTCTCCTGTCACATTCATTCCATCCTTCTCTGGTCTCCCTTTGGGCTTGTGTCAACAAGACATAATCGAATTCTTACTTGATTTCTAATGGTTTCATACCTGCTTATCTCCCATCCTATGGAAAGCCCCATGTTCTGGGGTCATAGAATCTAGCCCGGGCTGTGCACGCTGTGGGCACTCATACATTCTGGTTTCCTCTTCTCTTCTCTTCTTTCCTCCCACAGCCAAGCCTCACCCTTTCTGGAAGGGATCGAGACAGAAGGAGTAGTCAGCAGAGTTTCTTTCTCCATCCCGGGGGGCCCTCGGTTTGGGAATAAACACAGCATCCTGATCTCCCTCTCTGTATCTTTTCTCATCACTTTCAGCCACCCAGAGATCCTGGGGATGGGGCAAGTATGAAATGAGGCTGGAAGTTCAAAGACTGTTCCCTGATGAGAAACTAAGCCTCAGGCCACTAGCCCACCCTCAAAACGTGTAGGACAAGGGAAATAATTTTCCAAAGCATCCTCTAAAATTCACCTCTCTCGCAGGCAGATTAGAGCGTGGTCTTTTTGAAAACTGTAAGGGCCTCAGCATTTAGAACGCCAGAGGTTTTACCAGACCTGGAAAGATGTGACAACTGTGTTTTGCTGCTGAGGGAAACATGACCCCATAGATGGCGTTTAGATTACACCCCCAGGTCGGGCAGGCCTGATTCATCTACGATGATACAGCAGGCGGGGGAGCTGGCGGCTTCTTAAGTTGGGCTGCGTGACAAGAGGCAGGGCTCACAGGGGAGCCAGGCGGCTAAGGAAATTTACCGCGTGTTGCAACCAGGGAAAGTGGAATTGGACCTGAGCGATAATCAGCCTGATTAGCTCAGTGCCTCCTGGAGAGAGCAGAGGGCGAGGAGACAGTGAGGGGTGGGGGTGGAGGGCAGGTTAGCTAGGATCAAGGTGGAGCCCCAGCGGCTGAGGTTTGGTAAGGCCAAGAATGCCCGGGGCCCAGAGAAGTATACGGGGCAGCAAACCCAGAGAAAACAAGTTCAATGCCCAGAGTGATGGTGGGTCAGAAGCAGCGACCAAGCTAAAGGCTGGTAGTGGGAAACGCAGGCATGGGCGGTGGTGGGCAAGCCAGGAGCGAGGGGAAGGACAGTGGGCAGAGCCGGGGAGCCCATAACACCTCCTCCCTGGGTGCTGGCCAAAGGGCGGGCACTGGCCAGGTGAGAGGCTCAAGATCCGCCATCAGCAACCCCCTCTCAGGCCCAACTCTCAGAAACCTGGCTTCTGCTGGAGGTGTCAGTCATAAGCAGAGCTCACCAGCGTTGATCTTGGTGACAGACCACAAGGTTCTCGGAGGGAGGTTGCAGGGACCCCTGGAGTTCTGGCTTGTGAGATAAAACTACAGCCTGCTGGTTCTGCCCTCCATCCCTCATTTCTATAGGACATAAAATTTGAATCCACAGGAAAAGAGGACCTATAATGTCTGGTGAAGACTGAGTGACTTTGTTCTCCATGACCCTTACTGGCCATTGATGGGCCCCTGCCAGACTTCCAAAATTGCCCTGATCCCAATTACAGCCCAACCATCTGTGAGCCCTTAGGTATACGCCAGGCCTGAAGCCAAACGTGTACATGCATTACTTCATGGCTTCCCAACCTGGGCACCTCAACTCAGCATGCCCTGAAAGGGTTACAGGTGTGCATGGAGAGGGAGCCCCCGGCCCTCGGACCACACTGGGCAGGGCTTGACAGAGGCTGGTGCCCCACCCTCAGGTAACTTCTGGCCTCCAGTCTTATCAATGCAATCATTTTTCATACATGCCGGTCACGAAAGAGGTTTGAAAGCACATCATTATTTCATTTGATCCTCACAACAACCCTATGAGGCCAGAACATTTTTCTCCTTTTTACAGATGAAGAAAGTGAGGAATTGAAGGATTAAGTGGCTCGCCTGTGGTCACCCACCTAGGAAGAGGTAAGTTTGCACCGGGCGAGCTTAGCTTGAAAGCCGACTGTGTGAACAAGGCTTTGGGAAAGCAGACTGCTCCCTCTGTAACACCAGGTGCTAATTGCTAGCAGAACGAGCTCTCCCTCAACACCTCCACGAGGTTGAATGTTGTCCACCTGAGTAGGACGGGGGCCTCTTTCAACAGCGTTGGAGGTGTCCTTTTCTCTGCCACAGGGTAGACCAGATGGAAACAAAAGGGAAGACACTCCTGGCATGCTCATGCCCAAAGTTGAGCTTAAAAACCTTCCTGGGAGGGCTCAAGCTCTCAGCTGTTTCTTCATCATCTTCCTGTCTTCCCGGAACGGTGCTGTCTGCACTGCAGAGCCCGTGTTGAGAATATCCAGATCTGGGACTTGGTCTAACATGTCCGAGACGCCTGATTTGATGCTACAGCAGCCAAGGGTTTGCTGTGGCTTCACTCTTAAACCTGGAGGGCAGGCTGGGTCTGGGAACCCTTTTGGTGAGCTCTTCTCGGGAACAGCCCCCCAGGTCTAGCCGACCCCTCAAGACTCACTCACCAGGCACCAGATCAAGAACTCCTACACACCCCAAGGAGGGGCCCACCCCCATATTAGTTTCCTAGGACTGCTATAACGAAGTACCACACACTGAGTGGCTTACACAACAGAAACTTATTCTCTAGCAGTTCTGGAGGCTAGAAGTTCAAGATCAAGATGCTGGCAGCATTGGTTCCTTCTGGGCGCCATGAGGAAAAGTGATCCACGCCTCTCCTCTGGCCTCTGGTGGTTTGCTGGCAATCTTTGGTGTTCCTTGGCTTGTGGATGCATCACTCCTGTTTCTGACTTCATCTTCAGATGACATTCTCCTTGTGTGTGTGTCTCTGCGTCCAAACTTCCCCTTCGTATAAGGACATCAGTCATACTGGATTGAGGCCCACTGTATGACCTCATCTCAACTTAACAAATTATATTTGCAACAACCCTATTTCCAAATAAGGTTACACACTAGGACTTCAAAATACAAATGGAAGGGTGGGGGATGTGGGGGACACAATTCAACCACTCTTCTCCTAGAACAGTGGCTCTCACATGTGTGTGAGGATCAGAATCACCATCGAAGAACCCAGAGGCTCGAGTGTGTCGACACAGGACAGGGTATGGAGACTCAGGTATCACTAAGGGGTGAGAACTGCTTGGACCTCAAGTGCAGAGGGCTGAGTTGGTCACACATCTCAGATCACCCTACAGTCAAAAGCCCAAACAAGGCTCGTCTCTCATCAGGTTTGTCCCTCTGAGCCGATCTTTTCCCTCTTCCATCAGTGCCCACTGCAAAGTGCTAAATATATGGAAATTATACATTAATATATTAACGTTGCCTTGAAAGTTATATTGTAGTTTCATCTATGCAAGTGTTTTAAAATTATGTACATGGATGCGTTCTGTGGATCTCATCTTTTTCTGTTCCTATTGTTTTGGTTTTGAAGACTTATCCACGTGAGAGTTTCTCTGGGAGGTGCATTGCTGGGTTGTCAGGTTTACACATAATTCAGTTTCACTGCTTCGCTGGATGGCTCTCCAGAATGTC